AGGATCGCTAGAAGCAGACTTGTTTATAGAAAAGCTTTGCTTGAATTGCATCAAAACAGAGCTCTCATTATCATGGCAGAGTGGCTCAATGGAAGATGAAGTGTTAATAACAATGAAATGGAATGTTGTGAGTTGAAAGAGCAAACGCAAGAAGGTAAACAGATGCAATGGTGAAGGCATTTTGTCTTGATTCTCTTTTGACACTATGATAAGAGCAAGCATAGAATGTGTTTTTATACTTGGTTCCAACCTTATGAGTTTTAGGCACCATCCCAAAATTATTGTTGCTGTCGAGTCAAGTTGTCTACGTAAATCAAGAAGTATTAAGGCAGATGTTAAATGACGGCCAGTTTCACCATAAAATGTTGTAATCACTAGGTCCTGACCGTCAGATGCATGACTTACCATACTGATGACTGTTCTGAGATTTGTTATGCTTTTGTCTTTCACAATGGATTAATTGGAAGGCTAGGATCCATGTATCAAGCTGGTTATGGTATTATACATTGGATTTGAAATGTGTGTTCATTTTACTTCCAAAAAAAACTTAGGTTCCACAATTGATAAGGTCTAGAACTGTTTTATTTAAGAATGGACGTCTTCCAGATTCCACTCGCATGGTCACTCCGGTCCCATAGTTCTTGATCCAGTATTGTTGGTGGAACTTTATTTCAAGTTTCTATCAGAAGGGACTTCTTCTAGATTCCACTTGCATGGTTACTTGTATAGACATGTATATTTATATACTCCATATGCAATATTGAATTACATTCTATAATATATAATATAAATATTTTTAAGGGTTTACCAACAATTGTATATGTTTTGAATATTCTTTTATATCTTCAAGAACCTTCTCCTTCCTTATATACAAGGCATGGCTTCACTTTGTCAATAAAGTTGGAAATAATAGACTGCGCATGCACTAAAGTGTATTGTATCAATATTAATGCAGCTAAATCAAGTCTGTCTAGGTAAATCAAGTGGTTTCAAGAAACTGAGAAATGTCTTTAGATTTATTATGATTAATTTTATAGATCATTATGTACTGATTTCAAATGTTAAGATCTATGCACCTAACCCAACATCTTTGGATGTTTTCTTTTTTGTCTCCATCTACCTGTCGCCAATGCGGATTGTCTTCAACTGGCACATATATTTTATTTGGTCAATACTAACATGAGGAGACGGTGATTGGTTTCAATACAAGTTACTGTCACGACTATAATTTAAACGGAAAGGGAGAGAAAAGTTTGAAGAAAATGTGTTTCCCTCGATTTTGGTTGAGACATGACAATTAGAGGACCATGTTGAAAGTGACTTTTGGAAATTAAGGCAGGTTTTCACCATTTGGTTCATTTAAAAATATACAGACTTTAGTGCAAGAACAAAAAGTCTATTCAATTCAATTTATTTTTTGGTGTCAAAAGGTTGTGGCTAAATTTGGCCCAAGACCTATTCAAATGGGATAAGGACATAGGACGATGGCGACGATCTATTTTTTTTTTTTAAACCTGATGACAAGGCTCTCTCTCTCTCACGCTCTTGTTCCCAATTTTCTGTTGTGTGATTTCAATTTTGCCGCTTTCACCCTCCCAAATGACTGTTCCTATTAATTTGAGTAACATGAACCCCTGTAAAAAGATCATTACTCATCCTGCATTCAATGATTGAGAATACCAGGAAGGTTACAGTGAGTACAGGTGTAACGTTGTCAATTTTTAAACAAAGACGATATATATCATTACTTGAACCAATGTTCTCACATTTGGAATTCCTATATTTATTATTGCACCTAAATTATAAAACCCTAACAGGGGAATATAGAAAAGGTCTAAACTTCATTATTGGATCACTTAGAAGTGAAAAAAAAAAAAAAAAAAAAAACCAACACATATATGGATTAATTATATTATGCAAATACATTGAAGACATACCTTGTCATTGTTGATAGAACCCTGGTTGAATCTGAAAGTCTTAGCTCAATCTCCAGTTGAAAAGTCTACAAAGGCAAACATCCAAGAAGCATACATTGGTTAATCAAGTTCAGTATCCTTCCGAAAGTAATGACAAACCATTCATGATACTTTGCGCTCAAAGTGCCCAATGATCAGCCCCAAATTAAAAACAGAGGGTTGAAAATCTACCAGCCTTGTTTGGTTCAGTTTTAAACAACCCTAAAAAAATAATAATAAAACAACAAAATAATTTGAAGAAGGAATAAAATAGTTTTAAGAGAATTCAAAATTTTAAGTGCTTTTTAAGTGGTAATTAAAAAATAAATATATATTTATAATTTTTAAAAATTGTGTTGTTTTTATCATTTAATAATTTTTCTTTAATTCACTTCGGATATAGCCCAGCGGTATACTCGCTGGACTTTGGAACTTAGTAAGCCCAAAGTTTGGGGGTTCGAGTCCCGCTGGGTGTACTTTGTGGCTAACCTCCGCTGTTCTGTAGTGACTTACCCAATCCGGATGGAGAGATGTCCTTCCGGGTCATCGAGAATTAGTCGGGTTGTTGAGGGGCCTTAAGGATTCGTGCCATCCCAGACACCCTGGGTTAACTAAAAAAAAAAAAAAAAAACCACACTTCTAAGCTTAGTTTGGATGTAAAACATATTTTTTTCTTTATTATTTTGTTGTTTGGTTGTCAAAAATTTAAGTAAAATATTTTATTAAAACCTGATAAAAATAATTTACACATCAATTTTTAGTAAATTATTTTGCACGCCCAATCCAATAGACTCGATTTTGACCTTGATTTAAACTTTTGTCAAATACTGAAAAATAAAAATAAAAAATATTTTACCTAAAAGAAATATTTTTGAGAAAGATATTTACGTCATAATAATAATGCATTAATTAAATAAGTGAAATCGAACCGAAGACCATAGGGTGAGAGGAAACTAAAGGGCCTTTCCACTCCGCAGCACCACCACACCTTATTTTTAAGATTCAACCCTTAACAAGTTTTATAAGTATATGTGTGTACACTTGCACTAGTGTGTTTGACTATAAAGGGACTCTAAACACTATGGGTCATTCACTAACACGAAGTAATTCCTTTTTAAGTTTTCTCTAAAAGCAAATCATAATTTTGATTTCTTGAAACTGAAACAGAAAGTAAATCATGTTTAATAATGTAGATTGTTTTCAGAAAAACAACAAACAGAAAGTGTGTTTGATAAAAATGTGTTTTTTCTTTTAACCGAAATGCAAAAATTAGACATGACATGCACTAGCTGAATAACATTATATCAAGTGCGTGCAAGATAAAGTACATCAAATAGAATACGAATCCAAATAAAAGTGGTAACAACATCCAAATACAAATAATAGAACTGATTCATCTATGATGATAGTTGTTCCAAAACTTATTTGCAATGGCCTCCAGGTATCACTCATTTTTTGAATTTGCTTGACTCTGAAAGGTACTCTCTAGCTCCACTTCTTCTTCAAGATTGGGATTGTGGTACAATAGAAGAAAAACAAAGGGCTTCCCATTATTCTCAGTGAGTACATTCCCATGTAAATAAACAATTCTAACTGCATACATACATACATACATATACATAAGCAATAAATGTGAAACATGGTTTTCAAGATATATATGACAGTTCAATGTTTCAAATTTGAAATAAAATAATAATAATAATAATAATAATAATCATTGTTTTGGTTCTACAAGATGACGCTAGAATATCTGGACCTGTCCTTCAGAGTATCTTCTTCACTCATCTTTAATCCTCAGCAACCATCAGTCAAAATGGAGGAGCTCTTATTCAAGTAGATAGAAGACAATTTAGCAATTACAAGTTGGTGAAAATGATGGAACCATTTAGAAGGAAAAAAAAAAAAAAAGGCACTATATTCAAACGTCGATTGATTCAAAATTTTGATCTTGTTCAATATGAAAAAACCTTGTCCTAGCAACTTGATTTCTGCTACCTTAATACTTCCATAGTATTATTTTTAGCCTTCTAACATGAAAATATAGAGCCTTCCATACAGCCCCTTGGCAGGTAAAATTATTCAAACTTTGCAATTTTTATCCACTAATCTAAAAAATTGTATTTCACTTAAAATAACATAATCTGGCATATTTATCTAAGGGATTGCAAAAGAGTCTCTTTCACAGGCAAAATAATGGAGTATAAAACTATACTGAGAAAGCAGGTCTAACACAGACATATTACTTTGTCCTTCCAAAATGGAATCCCGCAAATTTTATTCCCTCACAATCTACAAATTGGGCCCAGACTTTTTAAATTTTCTTAGAGATAATATTTTGTACCTGATTATGTCTACAACTTCATTATACAAAGATACTTGCATTCAACAATTATAAAAGTAGCACTAGTAGTCATTGCTCAGCCTTTTGAGTAGTCTGAATCCTTTCCTTCATAGCTAGGTTGAGTTTTTCCACATAATAAATTAACTCTTTACCAAAAAATATAAAATAAAATAATTACAAGCCTACTGTGTAAGAATTTACGCCAAAATGCCATACGTGCATTATCTTAAGCCTGTGTTATATAATCTCTTGAACAACTATCTGAAAACACTACCTTTTGTAACATTATCTTCTCAAAAACAATAGTCCAAAATCACACGATAACATTTGGCGCCCATAATTAACATAATTTTTTTTTTTTTAATTTACTAAGGCCTGTGGCCTAATAGTATTTCCTCTCATTTCAATCTGAAGGGTAGAGGGTTGACTAGACAAAAAAAAAAAAGTACTTTTATTTTATTGTAATTGCAAATAGTTCATCCTATAGAAAGCCTCACATGCAGACAACTGAAGAAGAAACACAACACTAACACATAAAAGGTATATTGAAGACAAACCTAGACCTCATAGCATGGATGGCCTGGTGGAAACTCCATGCTAGATCTGAAATTATTTTTTTGATGTTACCATGAACGAAGATGAGCTCATCAAATTTAGCTTCTTCTCCCGCTCTTTTTCTTCATTACGAAGGTGCTGACAAACCATTAATGATGCCTTGTGGTCAGAGTGTTCCCAATGATCAGCGCAACTACTAACCCACCTCCATAGCCCATGCATATCACAATCCAATCACTTTTATCAATTGGAAACCATGAATCATCATCTTCATTTTGCTTCAATTTTGAAGTTGGTGGTGATGCTTCTAAATTGCCACATTTCTTCGACAAAGGGTCTCCACACAATCCTGAATTCCCTTCATAGGAACTATTTTCAAATGTATCAAATTGTCTTCCTCGTGGAATAGGACCTGTGAGATAATTATGAGAGACATCGAAGATTTCAAGGAATGTGAGTTGGGTCAGCTGCTGGGGTATCTCTCCCGAGAGCTTATTTTGAGAAAGGTCTAATGATTCAAGCTCTGTTAGGTTCCCCAAAGAAGATGGGATGTGACCAATAAATTGTTGTCGGAAAGGTTGAGCATGACAAGCACATTGAGATTCCAAATAGATTCTGGAATCTCTCCATCAAATTGGTTACTTGAGAAATCAATGGCAGTGAGGATACTTGGGATCTGCCGAAACAATGTAAGCACACCTTTGTTTGTTAGTGTCATTGAGTAATTGTAAGAAGCACGCCATGTATAGTAAGGTACATACAAAGCTGTGCTTGCTTGCATATATCTTGACTGATTGACACCAACAGTTTTCATGGCTTCCCAAGACCGGAAGTACTCTGAAGGCAACTTACCAGTAAAACCATTGTGAGAGAGATCAATGATGAGCAACTTGGGGAACAATGTGGAACTAGATTCAGCTGGGTGCTTCTTCGGTATTGCATCGTGGAATCTATTTTATCCCAGAACAAGAACTTTCAACTCCGGAAGATCAGTTCCCATCCAAAAAGGGAAACTATCATTAATCTGATTGTTTCCAAGATCAAGCATCTCTAAAAGTTTGCAATTGGCCAAGGATCTAGGCACTGGTCCTTGAAATTGATTTTGACTGAAAATGATCATCTTTAGTGTGCTTCCCTTGATGTATGTTTGAGGAATAGGGCCATGAAAGTTACTGCTTCGAAGATTCAACATTAACAGCGAAGTGGAAAAGTTTCCCAAGCACTGGGGAATCATGCCATTTAAGTTATTGTTGGATAAATCGAGGACAAAAAGAGAACTCATATTGCAAATTGATGGTGGAATTGCTCCGGTTAGTTTGTTGTTTGAGACTTCATACACATGAGTGGATGATGGTGGGATCGGGAGTAATCCGTGTAGCATGTTAGAATTAAGATCTAAAACGCTTAGTCCACTCCCCGGAAGAACTGAAGGAGGTTGGTCAAAGCTAATTAGAAAGTTGTTTTCCAAAACAAATCCTGCAGGGTTTCGGTGCTCATGTTCCAAATCCATTTAGGCACGAGGCCTTGAATTCTGTTGTTTGCAAGGTCAAGATATTGCTAGCCATCTTGATATCTCAAGAAATCTGGGAACTTAGTCAGGTTGCATGAAGCCAATTCGAGATGATAAAGAGTTGGAAGAGTGGTCTTGGTATAATTGGTACTGCTGAGAAATGTGAGTCGGTTATATGATAGGGCAAGATCAAAAAGATTTGTCATGGTAAACACGTCTAGCTTCACTCTTCCAGTCAGATTGTTTCCAGCAATATGAAACATTTGTATATTTACAAGTTGAGATACTGACTCTGGGATGGGACCCTGCAACGTATTATTTGAAAGCTCTAGCAATGTTAATTGAGTCAGATTCATAAGCGAAGATGGGATTTTGACCAGTTAGATGATTAGCGGTCATCAACAAATTTACGAGTTTTGTAAGATTACCAATTGAGGATGGTATTGACCCTGAGAAGAAGTTTGTGGAAAGGTCCAGAAAAAGGAGTTGTGCAAGCTAGATTACCCAATTGAAGTTGGTATTGACCCTGAGAAGTTGCATACTTGGACATCCAAGTAATTCAACGAGTCGAGATTTCCGATTGAATTTGGAAGCTGTCCGGAAAAGCTTGTGATCCCTAGTTTCAATGACTTAAGTGGACTCCTCCTGTGGAACTCGGGGAAATAGCCGCTTAGATCTGGATTGATGGCCACGTTTAGAAACTGTAGGTTTGGTAGCTTAAAAATGTCGGCTGGAAATGCACCATGTAATCCACAATCTCTGAGACGTAGACACGTTAGAGAAGAAAAACCAGCCAAAAACTCAGGTACTACAGAAGATATGTTCACCTCACTGAGGTGAAGTTCTTTTAAGTCAGTCAAGTTCTGAACCAGAGTTGCTAGACCAGGCTTTTGGAGCTTCAATAATGGATTCTCAGAGAGATCAAGAGAAACAATTTTGTTTAGTTGTGAAATTTCTAACGGGATTTGACCATCAAATGCAGAAAATGAGAGATTGAGATGAGTTAACCTTGAAAGAAGTCCTACAGCAGGTGGGATTTGTGAGTGATTGAAGTCATTGTCTGCGAGGTTGAGTCTCCGAAGATGAACAAGGTGAAAGAGGCTGCTGCTTGAATTGATAGAACCATACAGACGGCTGTTGCTGAGGTCAAGGCCGATCACATGGCCGGTGTCCCCATGACATGTAATGCCATCCCATGAGCAACAGTCACTACTACTACTACTATTACTACCTTCCCCTTCAGGCTGCTTCCACGACGCAACCTTTGGATAGGCAGAAGGGTCACCAGAAGCAGACTTCTTTATAGAAAAGCTTTGCTTGAATTGCATCAAAGCAGAGCTCTCCTTATCATGGCAGAATGGCTGAACGGAAGAGGAGGTACTGTTAATAGCAATGAAATGGAAGAATGTTGCGAGTAGAAAGATTACGCGCGACAAGCTAAGGAGATGCAATGGTGAAGCCATTTTATCTCAGGACTGGGATCCTCTGCTGTAAATGGGTCGTGCTGTACCCATGCTATAGTGAAAAAAAGAATTGTTTTTAAATGGGTAACTGTAAAGTCCAACGGAAAAAGGAACGACGTTAAAAAAAAAAAAAAAATGGAAAAAATAGCTTATTACTACCGACCAGTGCTCTAATTAATCATAGAGTTAAACTGAAATAGGGAGAGATTCTATGGGGAAGGGAAAACGATAATAAAAAAGAAAAAAGAAAGGAAAATAAAATATCCTCTTCTGCTTCAGTGCCGCCGTCTATCGTCACGGTCTACTTGGGTTGTTCATGCTCACGGCTGCATTTTCAGGTACTCACCCTTTCTCTTTCTCTCTTTTCCGATGGTAGTATGAATCATACAAGAAGTAAACAAAACTAAAATTATCAATCTCTCTCTCTCTATGTGCCTGTGTATGTAAAACACGTTTCCAACAAGGTCTTTCTTTCTTAAAGACACGGAAACGATTTAAAAAAGAAACAAAAAACAATAATCAGGAAATTAATTTATTCTGAAAGGTAATATAAACTAAAATAAATTCAAGATTGTAATTTACAAGCGTTGTTAGAAACTACCATATTCCGTCAGAGTCAACGTCCATGTTTTCCTCTACAAGTAGTGCAAGATTGTTTTGTTCCTTCGTATCACGATTCATCTCTCATATTCATGCTTCTTTTTTCGATCAATTCTGTTATATAACTAACATATATGTATTTCCTTATATCATGATCAATTAAATTTGTGGTTGTGTATGCATATTCTGGAGTTTTAGATTGTGTCCCAAATCTATGGTTTTTTTTCGTTTATTAAGAAAAAAAAATTGAATTGTGGGTTCTAGGATAGGGTTGTTTATACACTGTCCGACTAGGTTTGACTTAACATATTCAATTCTGTATCTTTGTTTTTGGGTTTAATTGGTTGCTCAAGAAGAGTTATTGGTTGATAATCATTATGGCAGCAGGAAGATTCGATGTTCCAAGGAATAGAGATTTTGACTCGTCTAGAAAAGAAATTCATCACGATAGAAAAGATTACCGTGACTTAGAATTGAGTAGAAGTCGTGGTCGGCATGGTGGGCATAAAATTGAGTATGGTTCTTATACAAGCAGGAGTAGTTTGCGTGGCCAGACTGATGGTGGTCTTAGGCAAGGCAGAGGATATGTTGGTAGGATGGGAGATAGAGATGGAGGTGAATTATCGTGCTCAGGCATGTCCAGTGATGCTCATTCTTTTCAGTCCGGGTCTGGGAATAATGACCTTTCGAAGTTTGAAGATGGAGGGCTGATGCATTTGGAGAATACACAATTAATGCAGAAACCTTTCTTTCCTCTAACATGCCCAAATTCCAAAGCTGCGATGCAGCTTTGGCACACAGCATATGGGCAGCAAAAACATTGAAATTTTGAGGTTCTATGGCAAATGAGGCAAGAATGCCAATCTGAAATAGAAAATGGTATCAGTTTGCATTCTATCAAATCAACTGTCAAACGCAATAGAAACATGACTAGAGAAACTAATGGGATAACAACATAAAGCAGCAGCAGGAATATATCTTTATGTTGTAACTAATGGGATAACAACATAAAGCAGCAGTGGGTCTGCAATGCATTAATGTTACGGAATTGTCATAAAAAAGTTACAATAAAAACGGTGTTCTTATTTTCTCTTCTGGGAGTTGGCTTTTTTTCTTTTTGAATCTGGAAATCCAGGATGCTTTTGGCTTGAATTGAGTGAAGTTATTCAAATACAGCCAACCTTTGAGGACACGCATCATCAAACACCTTCCGTGCATTCTCGTTCTTGTCCCACCACACCACAACAATTTCTTTGTACAACCGTAATTCTCTTTTCTTGATAATCATATTTTGCATAGCCACTCTGAACTAGTTCTCACAAATCAAGAGAAATCAACAGAGTTTTCATTTTTGTACTCCAAAAACAATAATTTTCACCTTTAAAAATGGGAAAAATCGGATGAAAATTGTTGTTACATGTTGCAGCCATTCTTTTTTAGATGAACCTTTTTGTACGCTATTCTGACTTCAGTCCCGATTGATCGTTGACTTATCTTATATCACTCGATTCACTCTGTTAACCATTTTTTGTATTATAATAGAACAGACCTGTTTTGGCTATTATCTTGAAATAACGGGAAGAAAGGAGCGAAAGATACGTAAAAGGAAAAACAAGGAAATTATATTAATTTGGGAATCCTTATTCTGATTACAATTAACTTCAAGAATGTAATATGAATGACAACAAACAACAATTTCTACTAACTTTTTTCCCATGTGGTACCTTCTTGTCCAGATCACAAACCGGCATTACCGGATACCACTATGAAAACCAATCGAATTTCTCATCCTGGTTGTTGATCTTGATTTCTTCTTCAAGTGGGTCTGCAAATTCAGTTGAAACTGTAGATGAAATGGTAGTGAAAAGCTTGAATTTTGATTCCACTTTGGGATTTGATGAGAGAAACGAATTGGGTTTTTTACTCTAGCTGGGAACTCAACTTTGATTGAGGTTTTAACTCTTGATGGTAACAACTTCAAAGGTATTGTTATATACTAACTTTAATATGGTATGTTTATGTGATTAATTAACAATAAAAAGATTCATATGGATGGTAAATTGTATGGTATCATTTAAGAACACAAGGGAATTTTTTTATTGTGGTATTAATTATGACTTGAAAGAGCTTTGAATTCAAACAAAGTTTTGGTATCCTAATGGTTTTAGCTATATAATTAGACCAGCATGGGGGGCAATCATGCTTCATATCTTATTCTATTCTTCCTTTATTCCCATCCTACCATTTTTCCATTCTCTGACTTCCCTCTGATGTTGTGTTATGAAATTGGACTATAGAGTTAGTATAAGCTTATTAGTCACTGGGGAAACCTTTTCTCTACATTAGAGTTATCAATCAGATGCCCTTGTTCTGTAGTTGTGATTTGATAAGGGGTGATGTGTGTCTTATGCCTAACTGTTACAACTACAGCTACATGTCGATGATCTGTTTTACAATTTAATGTCATTTTGCATTGTCCATATCCAATTTTTATGATTTTGTAAGCTTGATCTTGTGATTTCTGACAGCTTGACATTTAATTTTCTGTGTTATAGTTGATATAATGAGGCTCCCCCTTGTATATACTTTTTCTTTAATTTTTTTCTTCCCCTTATATTCAACATCATCACAGATGTGTTTATCTTTCAAAATGGAATATGATACATATATTTTAGTATGCGTTAAAGCTAATTTGATAGTTATTCTTAGTACCCTCTTTCTTCTTTAGATTACCTTCCACCATTCTGATTGGGACTAAGACTAGCGTTACGAACAAATTTGTTTTTTTATTTATTTATTTAAAATTTATAGTTTCATGATGGGACGTTCAACTGGTGTAAAACGGAAACGTCAAGCTACTTCCTCGAGTCCTGCAGATGTGGAAAATACTCCACATAAGTCGACCAATTACTACTTATTATATAGGTACAAATTTTATAAAATATTACTTTGTTAAAATATTTTATGTATATATTTTGTTGTTCTTAATATATTTGATTTTATGTCATGTTATTAGGAAACATAATAAAAAAACTGGTACAAATGTGGTGGGGCAAAACAAGGAGTATTCAATAGAATGGAATTCGATGTCAGAAATTGATAAAATGTCATTTAGAGATCGATAAAAAAAGAATATTGTGTCTTATACTAAGAAAAAGAAAGAGGAGAAAAAGCATAAAAAAACATAAGGTAAGAATTTCTACATTGTAGTTGATAGTAATATTCAAGGGGTTCTAGTTTATTACAACTCTTTGAAAACTGTTATGTATTTTTACAATGTGGATAATAGAATAACGTCCCCTTTACAATTCTTTAAAGACTATTTTGTACTGTTATATTTGGTTTTCTCTCATCAATGATTATTAATATTATAAATTTATTAGGTAGGGCATTTATCAAATAAAAGAGTGAGCACAATGCCGGTGAAGATTTTTTTTGAAACTATATCTAGTTTTAAAGAAGACCAGGTTTCTGCTGTTTGGGATATAGGTTTTGGAAATATTCTTGAGTTGAAGTGTACTCACTTGAACCAATATCTTTGTCAGTACCTGGTAGAAAATTTTGATGAGTGCAAATGCGGTTTGAGGATTTCTGATAAACTCATTCCGATAACAGCGACAAATTTCGAGCACATTCTTGGGATACCCAATGGTCACTTAGTAATGGTGAACTCAGAAGGAGACAAGGGTATAACCAATTGGAGTTGGGTGAAAGAAGGTGGTTTCATGAAAAAAAAGACTTTGAAGGTTGCCAAAATTGGTGAGATGCTTCGAAATTGGGGTGATCAATGCGCTGATGATGATTTTAAGCGACTTTTTGTAGTATATGCATGTGGATGCATATTGTTTCCAAACACTGCTCATGAGGTGTCGAAATACTTTTTTGGAATGGTTGATGATGTAGAGAAGATAAACCAATACAATTGGGCAAAATGTGTGCTTAATGATTTGGTAAAATGGGTTAATAAATTGAAGGCATCTAAAAATAGTGGTTGCAATGGTAGTCTACCTTTTTTAAAGGTATGCATGACCCAAGTGTATTAAAATTTATTTTAAACTATTAGTTGCATTAATTTATAAGTGGCTTGTCAATGTGCATGTAGTTGTTTTATTTGGTCCGTGTTGATGCCAATTGTCCAAAACTGAACAAATACCCTAATGTTGCTAGTGATTGGCCTGAACCATTAATTAAGGAGCGCCTAGAATATGAAATGTCTGAATTATGGCAATTTTGACTCGAAAAGGTAACCTTAAGTTTTTATTCCATTCACAAATATTTCAAATTATGCTAAATTGTATGTTTAATTGCATGATTTCATATTGTCAATAGATTATACCACAAGAGAAGGAGGATGACGACGGGGAGGAGGATGATGTCGATGTTGATGTTGATGTTGATGTTAAGGAAATTAATTGTAAAAATATATATTAGTTATCACACAGTTAAGCCTATCTAATATTACGACACTAAAATTTTTTCGGAGTGCTAATTAATTTTGTTAAGATGGTTAAATTTCATTTGATTTGAGCAAATCGTTCTATTTGGTTAACACTTGTTACAATTATTTAAATCAATTCATCTATTCCTTTAACCTTGTTATATTAATATTTTTACACAGGTTTTATTAGAGAATTTGGAGAGGGACTTCCATTAAGTCCATCAAATTCAAAAACGTATGAGGACAAACATATCAAAAATTCTCTCAAAATTTGGGAGAGCGAACAAAATAGCTGCCTCGCCCCGATTTGATGGATCTCTTAAAAAAGACGGAGACAAAGAAAGTGCACATGTCCAAATGAAGTATGCATCAAACCCTGAGTTGCCCGATAAGTAAGTGTACATGTTAAACTATTCAAAAAGTCAAACTTTATATAATAAAAATCTAATATAAATTTATTTCTTTTATTATTAGGGAAATATTGGTACATATTGACAATAATAAAGATAAAGAGATGGAGAAAAACAGAGAGAAAGATGGAGGTGATTTAAAAATTGAGAGAGATATTCAAAATGATAAGGATATTGAGAAAGAGGAGCAAATAATACAACAGTCTGGCCGTGTTGTGATAGATCTTTGTCACCTAGAAAACTCTTCAGTGAAGCCTTCAAAATCAGTGCGTGTCAAGCAACCAAGTCGATTCGTAAAATCTCCATTTTACATTGAATCGGTTAAGAAGCGTAAAATTTTCTCTAACAAATATACAAAGAGAGTATTGAAGTATGCATCAAACCTTGATGCACCCGATAAGTATGTATATATGTGCAAATGTTAAAAAAAATCCTGATTATATAATAGTTATCTAATATTCATTTTGTTCTTATATTCTTAGGGAAATATTGGTGGATATGCATGAACATTACTTAAGCGGCAGACAAGTTTGGATATTATTGAGCAGAGAATGGATTGATAGCCCGGTCGGTGTTATTGTTTCATGAAATGTATTTACGTTACTAATGTATTTAAATACGATATTAACAACTAACACATTAAAGTTTCAACTTGTTGACATTCTCGTGAAAGTATTGCTGATTAAAAACAATCAAAAGAGATAATTCTTCTTTGAAACTTCTATTGGGGTAAGTCTTTTGTATAAAATATTGTTTTATCAATGATTTAGGCATTTGTTGTTGATGTTGCTTTGTACATGTGTAGTTATTAATTTTAAAGGGTCATGAGTATGCTGGTACTATGCAGAGAGTTTTCTTGGATGATGTATGGAAGAATAGCTTGATGATGTTTAAATTAAATGAAGATGAAATTCTAAAATGTAGGCGGGTATGTATGATTCATTTAACTATTGATAATTCGTTTCATTATCCGTATTCTATTTTTTATATTTATAATTATGATGTGTTCTAGTTCTTTTTCCCTACGTCAAATGACAACCATTGGCTCCTCTATGTTATTGATATTGACAAATTAACCATTTGCTACCTAGACTCCCTTGACAACAAGATTAGAAGAAAATATGTTTACTTACTGGTAATGAGGTTTTACTGAACTCCTAATTAGAAGTTTCAATGTGTTTTTTTTTCTGTTACTTTTGAAGTTTCAATGTTATTAACTAATGTGTATGAATATCATTTATAATTGCAGAAGGAATTCATGAAATTTTATTTAACAATAAATTTAGAAAATTCAAAACTATTGATGTGAAAGTCCCACAACAATCCGATGGGTATGAGTTTGTTTTTTATTTTTATTTTTATTTTTTTAAAGTAAATTAACTAATTTAATTACGAAAATTTTTTATTATGTTAAAATGTTATTTAAGATCTCAGTTTGTCATCCAATTTTTGTCTATGTTATTGAATATTAGGGATAGTTGTGGAGTGTTCATGATGAGGTACATGCAACTTTTTAATGGCGAATTGGAGCTCAAGTTTGACACAATATGTTAAAAAATTTCATAGCCATAGTGGCTTCATCTTATAAATGTCAAAATTCATATGTCTAAATGTAATTCGGTGTGGCTGCTCTTGTTTGCAGGTAGACCCTTATGAAATGAGATGTAAGCTTGGATTAGAGCTACTCTTAGATAAAGATAACAAACACATTCAAAAGTTGAGGGATATTATGCAAAAAGATTAAAAAAAAAAATGATTTTTCAAATAAGATATTGTAACAACGTGTACATTTCATTATCCATTGATTTTATCTGGTTGACTTATAAGTTTATTTTTTTAATTTGATTGAATTAAGAAAATTAATTAGAAATACATCAAGAAATATTGTTTCTTTGTTCATAAGTGAATTCAACAAAGTTCATCTTTTGATTGATTTGTTCCCTTCACTTTATCTTCTTCAAAGAAAAAAAAATTTTTATCAACCTCAAAATTAACAAAGTTAATCTTTTTATTGATTTGTTCAGTGGTGAATGTAGCATATTGCATTCTTGTCTACATAAGAATGAAACTTGTTAAATATTTCATCAAACTAAAACAAATGCCAGTATTGTAAGATTTGTACAGACGCCATTCTTGATTAAAAGAATCATATTTGATCTAAAGTTATGAAATTGCTTTTTGAACAAGAATTTAATTCTATATGTTATATATATAGGATAAGGATCCTCTCTAGGAAAAGAAAGATCCTACACACTCACCAACCATTGATATGACATCATTACTAGTGTTGAGAATAAGATTAAAAAGTGTTGAGAAAAAGATTAAAAGGTGTTGAGAACAAAATTAAAAAGTCTTGAGCTAGAGATTAAAAAGTGTTGATAATACGATTAAAAGTTGTTGAGAATAAGATTAAAAAGTGTTGAGAAGAAGATTAAAAGTTGTTCAGAACAAGATTAAAAAGTATTGAGAATAAGATTAAAAAGTGTTGAGAAAAAAATTAAAAGGTGTTAAGAACAAAATTAAAAAGTATTGAGAACAAAATTAAAAAGTGTTGATAATAAGATTAAAAGTTGTAGAGAACAAGATTAAAAAGTGTTGAGAAGAAGATTAAAAGTGTTGAGAACAAGATTTAACATGTTGAGAACAAGATTAAAAATTAGTTGAGAATAAGATTAAAAGTTGTTGAGAACAAGATTAAAAAGTTTTGAGAATAAGATTAAAAGTTATTGAGAATAAGATTAAAAGTTTTGAGAATAAGATTAAAAGTTGTTGAGAGCAAGATTAAAAAGTTTTGAGAACAAGATTAAAAGTTGTTGAGAACAAGATTGAAAAATGTTGAGAAGAAGATTAAAAGTGTTAAGTTAGAGATTAAAAAGTGTGGAGAATAAGATTAAAAGTTGTTGAGAATAAGATTAAAAGTTGTTGAGAACAAGATTAAAAAGTGTAGAGAATAAGATTAAAAAGTGTTGAGCTAGAGATTAAAAAGTATTGAGAACAAGATTAAAAGTTGTTGAGAACAAGATTAAAAAGTGTTGAGAAGAAGATTAAAAGTGTTGAGAATAAGATTTAAGGTGTTGAGAAGAAGATTAAAAAGTGTTGAGAATAAGATTAAAAAGTGTTGAGAACAAGATTAAAAAGTGTTGAGAAAAATATTAAAAGGTGTTGAGAACAAAATTTAAAAAGTGTTGGTTAGAGAATAAAAAGTGTTGATAATAAGATTAAAAGTTGTTGAGAACAAGATTAAAAAGTGTTGAGAAGAAGATTAAAAGTGTTGAGAATAAGATTTAAGGTGTTGAGAACAAGATTAAAAATTTGTTGAGAATAAGACTAAAAGTTGTTGAGAACAAGATTAAAAAGTGTTGAGAACAAGATTAAAAGTTGTTGAGAACAAGATTTTAAGTTTTGAGAATAAGATTAAAAGTTGTTGAGAGCAAGATTAAAAAGTGTTAAGAGCAAGATTAAAAGTTGTTGAGAACAAGATTGAAAAGTGTTGAGAACAAGATTAAAAGTATTAAGTTAGAGATTAAAAAGTGTTGAAAATAAGATTGAAAGTTATTTAGAACAAGATTAAAAGTGTTGAGAATACGATTAAAAGTTGTTGAGAATAAGATTAAAATGTGTTGAGAATAAGATTAAAAAGTGTTGAGTTAGAGATTAAAAAGTATTGAGGACAAGATTAAAAGTTGTTGAGAATAAGATTAAAAAGTGTTGAGAACAAGATCAAAAGTGTTGAGAATAAGATTTAAGGTGTTGAGAATAAGATTAAAAAATGTTGAGAACAAGATTAAAAAGTGTTGAGAACAAAATTAAAAAGTGTTGAGCTAGAGATTAAAAAGTGTTGATAATAAGATTAAAAGCTGTTGAGAACAAGATTAAAAAGTGTTGTGAAGAAGATTAAAAGTGTTGAGAACAAGATTTAAGGTGTTAAGAATAAGATTAAAAATTTATTGGGAATAAGATTAAAAGTTGTTGAGAACAAGATTAAAAAGTGTTGAGAACAAGATTAAAAGTTGTTGAGAATAAGATGTTAAGTTTTGAGAATAAGATTAAAAGTTGTTGAGAGTAAGATTAAAAAGTGTTGAGAACAAGATTAAAAGTGTTGAGAATACGATTAAAAGTTGTTGAGAACAAGATTAAAAAGTGTTGAGATTAAGATTAAAAAGTATTGAGTTAGAGATTAAAAAGTGTTGAGAACAAGATTAAAAGTTGTTGAGAATAAGATTAAAAAGTGTTGAAAACAAGATTAAAAGTTGTTGAGAACAAGATTAAAAAGTGTTGAAAAGAAGATTAAAAGTGTTGAGAATAAGATTTAAGGTGTTAAAAATACGATTAAAAACTGTTGAGAATAAGATTAAAAAGTGTTGAGAAAAAGATTAAAAGGTGTTGAGAACAAAATTAAAAAGTGTTGAGCTAGAGATTAAAAAGTGTTGCTAATAAGATAAAAAGTTATTGATAACAAGATTAAAAAGTGTTGAGAAGAAGATTAAAAGTGTTAAGAACAAGATTTACGGTGTTGAGAATAAGATTAAAAATTTGTTGAGAATAAGATTAAAAGTTGTTAAGAATAAGATTAAAAAGTGTTGAGAATAAGATTAAAAGTGTTTAGAACAAGATTAAAAGTTGTTGAGAAGAAGATTAAAAAGTGTTGAGAAGAAGATTAAAAGTGTTGAAAATAAGATTTAAGGTGTTGACAATAAGATTTAAAAGAGTTGAGCTAGAGATTAAAAAGTGTTGAGAACAAGATTAAAAAATTTAAGAATAAGATTAAAAGTTGTTAAGAGTAAGATTAAAAAGTATTGAGAACAAGATTAAAAGTGTCGAGAAGAAGATTAAATGTTGTTAAGAACAAGATTAAAAAGTGTTGAGAACAAGATTAAAAGTATTAAGAACAAGATTAAAAAGTGTTGAGTTAGAGATTAAAAAGTGTTGGGAATAAGATTAAAAAGTGCTGAGAATACGATTAAAAGTTATTGAGAACAAGATTAAAAAGTGTTGAGAAGAAGATCAAAGGTGTTGAGAATAATACTAAATTAAAGGTGTTGTTAAATAAGATTAAAATGTGTTGAGAATAAGATTAAAATGTGTTGAGAATAAGATTTAAGGTTTTGAGAATAAGATTAAAAGGTGTTGAGTTAGAGATTAAAAAGTGTTAAGTTAAAGATTAAAAGTGTTGAGAAATATATTTAAGGTATTGAGAATAAGATTAGAAGGTGTTGAAAACAAGATTAAAAGGTGTTGGGCTAGATATTAAAATTGTTAATAATAAGATTAAAAGGTATATTAGACAATTAATTGTATGTATATGGCTTTATGAATTTTAATTTCTCACATTTTTTAAGACTTGCCAAAACTGCCTTGATCACTTTTTACAATGGGCAGAGATTCCATCAAAAGTAACACATTCAAATGAACTAAAAACTAAAAATTCATCACATTGAAATGTGCTTCCATACAATATCAATATTCAGTTACATCATTTAGTTCCATTCCATCTAAAGTAACACATTCAAATGAACTAAAAATTAAAAATTCATCACATTGAAATTTTGCAACCATTAACAATAATGAGTGCAATACTAAGAAAATGATTTTGACTTAAAAGAGGATAACAGCAGCAGGTCATCCCATAGAAGTCCAAGCGCAGATTAAAACATCCAATCAATGAAGGAATGATCTCAAGAACCTGCAAATCAATACAGAAAATTAAATAAATTTTCTTAACATAAATCAGAAATATAGATTAAAAAAACAAAAATCCTTAAGTTTTGGAATATGGTCTTTTTTTTTTTCTGTACCATCACTAACAAACCCTTAGGCAAAGTGCCGCTTTCCTCTTCTACTATCCACTTATATCTTCTTGGGTTTATATAGTCATTGTGTTTTAAAATTTTAATTTTTAACCTTAACACATCTCAGACCAACACATTTCATTTCAGTTCTAATGAGGTTTTCTAGTGTAAAAGCCCTCTTTTTTTTTTCACCCTTTTGTGGAATTCTAATTGTTTTTAGATCAGCTCTTCTTGGTTTTTCATTTTTCTACATCTCCTAAGCAATAGCTTCATTTTTGTGACCTATATTTCGTTTCCCTCATCGAACTTTCAGTAAAAGTGTTGAAAACAAGATTAAAAATAAAGTAAAAATTATGACAGAGAATTCTTTATAGAAACAAAGAGAGAGTATTTTTATTTCACTTACCCACTGTACCATCTACTTCATCTACAAAATTATAGGGGGTAAGCAAAGGTCTGACAAATACAAAAACAATGCCATATATGTCTTCTCAACTACAACTTCAAAAGTTTAGACCAAAGGGCTGCATTTAAAAAAAAAAAAAAAAACACACACACACAATAAATAAAAATAAATTATGTATTACCATCAATAAATAGCCAATTATGATTATAAAAAATAAATAAATAAAATGATAGGCTTACCCAATCACTGCGTAGATTTTCTGATGTAATATCTTTAGCATGATTGGTTTTCTCATTAACCTAGCCACAAGAGTGTTATATAAATAATTGTCATAACTATTTAAACAAACAAAAAAAATTACAATATAATAATATATGAAATAGGTAATAACCTGCTTGATAAATGGACAATAAGATGATTGAGAAGCAATATTCACTTCTGTAGTGGCTTGTGACAAATCACAGTTCAATATTTCTGCGCTTGTTACCCTATCTATATCACACCGATTAAGAAATTGAAGCCTCTAGTAGTCGTAACTCCTTTGCAAGT